CCTACACATCTATGATTCTCTGATTATCTGATGGTAGCTAGTGCTAGATCGAAATAAAAATAAAAAACAGAACAAAAGGGAACACAATATCCCTATAACAGGGTGGCTTGCCTCTGGACTGGAGAGCCTGGGGCTAAGCCAACCCTGATTACAGACTAAGCCCTACTTGAGCAGGATCAAGCAATTCCCCATAAAGAGGAGAAGCTGACTGCAGTAATGGGAACAAGAGCCAGGCCTGAATGGTGATAAGGACCAACTGGGGAAAGGGCTGGAGGGAGAGACAGGCTGTAAGATGAGAGAGTAAGGAAAGCTCTCAAGGCCTGGGTGAGACCCTGATGAAAGAGGGAAGAGACTGGGAAAATATCTCCATGCAAGGAGGCCTGAGAGGAACCCTGATTAAGCAAGGAAGAGACAGAGATCCGGAGGAGTATTTAAAGGTTGCGTGGGAAGTGGCCCTGGGGAAAACTGCAGCACAGGTAGAGGAGCAGAACTAGTTGTTCAGTACAAGGCCCAGGACTGGAACCCAGAGTAGGGGCTGGGACTGGGTACTCCTGCTGGCCCCCAAGAAGGGGGTGTACAAGCCCACTGCAAGAGTTATTGAGCCCAGCAAGGGGACAACAGGTTGTGGAAGAGCCCCCAGAGAGGGGAAAGGATTTTTGTTTGTATTAAAGATATTCTGGGGACTCTTAGTTTGGAAACTGTGACCCCAGAAAACGTGGACTTAAGATGGTGACCTGGCTGCCCAGCTGAGTTTCTGACAGAAAAATCGCCACAGCAGCAGAGTGACTGTCAGCAGGGGGCACTCGCTCTTCAAGGGAGCTGCTATACCACACCTGGCCATGAGGGGGCACTTAGCGATGAGTGAACTCGGTTACAATCTCATACAGCAAGATAGTGTTAGAGAAGTTAGCTAGTACCACAACTGAAAGGGTGTTTTACATGAGTAGAACAATGAGAGAAAATAACACATCAACATTACAATAATCCATTTTAATGTGTGGGTGGGGCCTGGCCGAAGGCCTCCAGCTACCTTAACAAAAATAATTTAAAACCATTACTATCATCAAAGCATGTTGGCGGCAGGTTTACTTTCTGTAACTTTAGCCCATCTTCTTGAATTACAATCAGCATTTCAGGGCCTCCTGGTGGTTGAGCTTCTAGAAAGTGACAGACTATGTGGCACAGAGCCTGAGCACAGTTTCATGATGCTGAGTCACACAAGGGTAGGAAGGAGGAGCCCCAAGAATTAACCCTGTAAGGCATAATATCTTCTGAGCTCTGGGGAGGAACACGGTGTGAAGTGACTCTTGCTACACTTTTTTAAATGGCGCGGCAAGCGCTTCTTCCAGCACATTCATCCCAGTAGGCAGGCAGTGAAGGTGACTCTGATCAGAAATTAGCCTCTCTCCTCTGTCCCTTGCACACAAAAACACACCAGGAGCCGTTTTATTGCTAGGAGGGGGAATGGCACCCTATATACTCTCTTCCTCCTATGGGGAAGGCATAATGTAGCCCTTCATTTCTGAAGAATTTGAATAGAAAACAAATTGTTGCAACTTTTCTCTCTTGCCTCCTTTGGCAACCCAGTGTTGGAATTTCATGACGTGAAATGACTAATCATTTTTCAAGGGGCCCTCTTAAACAGAGTGTACAAACTCTGAGGAGTGAAAGGACAGTGCTACTGCAGATGCTCAGATACCACAGGGATGAGCACTAGGCAGGTAGGCCAGACAGAAATGAGTGCTCTTGAGCATGGCACTGTCTATTTGTGCTTACCCATGGAAGCTATTGGTATGGAAAACTCCCTTTATATTAATCTAGCTGATAGTATTTTAATGAACAATTAAGGTTTAGCTTTTCAAGATACAGAATAAGTTTCAACATTGGGCAAAATGCCTCCACTATGTCAAGTAAAATTGATCTTGGTTTAGTTATGTCCGGGATGAATTTGGCCTGTTAATCAGATTTTTTAATCCTTACAAAATTTTATTTGCTGTCTGAAAATCTGTCTTGAACAGAACCATGTTACAATAGTAGTTCTCTTTATATTTCCAGGCAAAACCACATTAAGATTGAGAGTACATATCAGCAATATAGAGTGAACTATATTACTGGTATGTTGTAGTAATTCCCAAACAAACATTATTAACCAAGGACATTCAGAGTTAAGGTTAGTCTTTAAAGAAATCCAGCACATTAAGCTATGGCAATGCATGGTTCGGGCAGCATTGAGAGCGTTTTAAGTGCCCTAAGTTGACATGCCCGTTGAAATTGGCTGCCATCTCCCAATGTTCTCATTGGGATTGAGAAAACAAGTTGCCCTCAGCTAAGATGCCCTCTTTCAAAATAACCCCTAGAGCTGTCCGGAAAAAAATCTTTCCCTCTCATTTTTTTTTTTTAAATGAAAAAGCTTTCATCCCGAATCAGGCTGAAAGGTGAGTAATTCACAGGTTTTCACAGGAGGGGAAGAATGTAAAAAAAGTTCAACTTCAGGAGACCAGAAATGGAAATTTTCTGCATGTTCTGCATGCTACCAGACTCCCCAAAATTCATTTTGTGCCCAGAGGGGAAGTGCTGTACAGTAATTTTGGGGAGGATACACACTGTATTCTTCATACATAAAGAGGTTGAATCCTTGTTTTACGTGCCACCAGCCCTTCTATAATGATTACATCTGACTGTGGTAGCGAAGCACTATTGATATGTTTTAACATTTGTTAAAATGACTTGTGATAATGGTACGTAAAATTCAGTTCTTTTTTAAATCTCTGGTAATAACAAATATCTTAAATTCCCTGTGCCACAGTTAAGGTGGCAGGCTCTGCATCTTCAGAAGTAATTGTCTATACAAAATAAAAGTTTAAAGTTAAATGTTACATTAAGTCACAGTTCCTGAGATAACTATACCTTTGACCCCTTTGTGGCCTCTGGATGGGCACCACACTAAGGTCTCAGGTCTCTAGCTATTTCCTTTTCTCAGAACAGGAGTTTGCAATCCAGTCCCTCCAGACAGGGGATTTGGGATTCAGACACCCACAATTCATTGTGATTATTCAGCAGGTCTGACCAGCTTCAGGTTCACCACTGTTAACCATTGACAGGATTAACCAGTGACCAGCCAGCTTTCATAAAGCAAAGTACGATTTATTCAGAATAAAAAAAGTTACAGAGAAAACCTATCTTAGAAAACAATAAACTATTTATATGCAATTCTAACATATCATGCAGTCACTCATCTTCCACATGGGGTTAAAGTACTGCAGGTTCTTTCCTCAGGATCTCTGTCTTGGTCCCAGTTTCACATCAATTTTTGAACCTACTGTGAGTGTCCTGTCTCCCAGATCATGATTGTCTCTTTATAGAGTTTCCAGTTCTTTGTCTGCAAGACTTCTTGAACCAGATCAAACTACTCTGTGCTATTTCCCACAGAGGGTGAACATTCCACAGACTTGTTACCCCTAATGGCTTTAGTTCCTGCAGGAAATATCCTTTAGTTCATCTGTTGAGCCAGGCTACAATCACTAGCCAACCTATACATTTACACATAACACTTATAAATTTGATACAGTAGCATTTGAATACTCTATGGGTCCTTAGCATCTGTCATATCTTAATATAGGTCTTTGAATAGTCCATGTTTCCAAAGCATTGCATCCTTCGTATCTTACATTCTGGCTTTTCTTTAGTACTAAATTCTTTCCTCTGTTTCTGAGATAGTCTATTTAAATATATTTTAGGATCCTTTTCTTATGGCCATTAGAGGCGCATAGGGTCAGATTTTCTCCTGCATCCAAGTTCTGCTCAGTGCAAGAGAAAGAAGTTCCAGCTCTTTGAACCTGTGAGCTGCCCTGCACTACCCCAAAGCTGATCTAAAGCAAACTGGATTGTTCTACCTTCTGTCACTGGAATATGGTCCTAAGGGACCATATATGGATGGATGATTGGCTGGGCATAATTCCACCATACCTCACCTCCAGGCCCTCTGACATGCTCCTCTGTGTTGGGGAGGTGCAGAGGCTGGCTTCACTGGTGTAAAGCTTTATGCCAGCAGAGAATTCCTCTCCATTAGCAGGTTTCAGAGTAGCAGCCGTGTTAGTCTGTATCCGCAAAAAGAAAAGGAGGACTTGTGGCACCTTAGAGACTAACCAATTTATTTGAGCATAAGCTTTCATGAGCTACAGCTCACTTCATTGGATGCATGCAGTGGAAAATACAGTGGGGAGATTTACCATACACACTGAAACAAGAGTGATCAGGTAAGGTGAGCTATTCTCCATTAGCAGATTTCTCTGCTGGGCAGCTATAGCCAGAATCCAGTCACTTCATACCACCTGAGTGGTACAAAGAATCTGAAGCAGAAACCAGCATCTGACCTATTCTTTCTAGAGGTGTTCTGTGGCCATGCTTGCATAAACTCAGCATTTTCTACAACTGAATCCCCAAAATATGCATTAAACTGCCATTGGGTACCAATGTTCGTACAAGTTCCAAGCATTCATTATAATGAGTGTGTCTTTCAAGTCTGTCAAAAAATGTTCATGTTAGTGATATACTTGCAAAGGTTAGTAGATAAAAATTAGGCCACTAACACTGCTACTTTTTAGACCAATGGGCAAAACACTTGCTTGGGAAATCTGGGATATCTGTATGCCATACAAAAGTAGAGAAGAATCCAGGACATGCTGGACAATGAAGGTCAATTGAGAGGTGTGTTTCTGTTAAAATAATGACTTCTTGTAACCATTGCATGGTTCATAGCATGTACAGTGCAAATAATGGCTGTCACTCTTGTCCACTGTGCATGATTTTATACTTAAATAAGATGTGACAGTCTCTGGTATTAAGTGTGTGCACATAAAATATGTTGTATTCAGTGAAATCAGTTCATGTCCCCTTCTGAAGCAGCTGATTAGAAGCTGACACCGGAGTCAGTGATACATTAGGTCTGGAGCAATTCATTATAGATAGAATATTTATTTTGAAAATGTCTTTCCTTTTAGACTGTTGGCTGTGATTATGAGATAAATTCCAATGCAACTGAAGATCAATGTGGAGTTTGCCTAGGAGATGGATCTGCTTGTCAGACGGTGAAGATGATGTTCAATCAGAGTGAAGGATTAGGTAAAGAGGGGCTTTTTTTTCTTCTTTTCTTGCTGAGACTGTTTCTGCAAATAATGAGGCTTGAAAAATTCTTCTCATTTCAAGTTGGTGAGTAATCTGAATGGCAAATTACCAGTGGAGACTCCTCACTGAAGGCTTTGCGTAGTCTGTTTTGAATCAAAGACGATTCTTTAGCCTGTACTGTGAAATGGCTTTGAGTGCACCTTGACCAATTAAATACCAGTTTTGCCTCCTGGATGTTGGATGTCAACAGCCTCCACTGCAAATTACCCAGATAATAAATAGCCAGCAAGCTCATTTGCAAAAGGTATTGTGATACAGCATGGCCAGAGGGCATCAGGAAGGTGATAGAGGGGAGATATGTAAGCCCCAGGATGATGAGAGCCTTATTCCCTGTAGAAGGAAGAGAGGTTGCTATAAATTAATTAGAGCACCTGAAGCCAATTAGAGCACATGAAGCTAGTCACCTGATAAAACCCCCCGCTTCAATCAGACAGTTGGAGGGGTTGAAGCAGAGTGGTTTGGTGTTGGAGCAGAGAGCAGTTTGGAGGGAAGCAGAGGAGAGTTTGAAGAAGTGCTGTGGCAGGCCAGAAGACCAAGACCCTAGGTAAAGGAAAACCCGGCTTCTGCAGAGCAGAGGTTCTTCACAGACACAAGGGGTTGGGAGAAACCTGGCCCAAGCAGAGAGAGGGCAGGAAGCCCCACAAGCTGAAGGGCTGAAGAGGGAAGTAGCTCAGGGGAAGGAATCACTAGTTCAAGTGGTTTGCTGCTATCCCTAGGGCCCCTGGGCTGGGACCCAGAGTAGAGGGTGGGCCCGGGTTCCTCCCTCTCCACTCCCCTTTTCTGGGATACTAGTGGGACAGTTAATACCCCAGAGTTTCTCGGGGGTGAGAAATGGTGCCCTGAATGCCCCCCACAAGAAGAGAAAGCGCAGGACCCCTCATAGTAGTGCCGGCAATTTGCCACACGTGGTGTCGGGGTGGGATTGCCGTGCTGTGCACTTAAACCAGGGTTAGCCAAAACCATCCCATCCCTAAGATGGACCGTGTGGTCCAGGCCCTAATACAAGCCACTGCGGCCCAGCAGAAGGCTACCTGGGTCCAAGCAACCACCCAACAGGAGGCAACTCGGATACAGCAGGAGACTAATCATCTGTTGATGAGTCAGGCTGCCCAGGACCGAGCCCTGCTGCAGGAGCTGGTGAACCAGATGAAGGCCCTTATGGAGCTGAATCGCAACTGCAATGGGACCCGGACCATATGGACCAGCCACTGCCTACAGAAAATGACATGGGAGGATGATGTGGAGGCATACCTCCAGGCTTTTGAAAGAGCAGCCTGCGGGAGGCCTGGCCCCAAGATCAGTGGTCTGGTATCCTTGCCCCGTTCCTGTGTGGGAAGGCCCAGAAGGTCTACTACGATATGGCCGCGGAGACTACAGCAGATTACCCCCAGACTGGACAAATTGCTGCGACTCCATGCCAAGTATGCCACCGCCTATTTAGAAGACATAGTCATCCATAACCCTGACTGGGAAATGCACCTAGGAAAAGTAGAAGCGGTGCTAGACACCCTGCGGAAGGCCGGCCTCACTGCCAACCCTCCCAAGTGCATGATAGGGCTAGCTGAGGCCAGATACCTCGGGCATGTAGTAGGGAGAGGCTTGGTGAAACCCCAATGGAACAAAGTGGAGGCAATACAGGGTTGGCCTCCACCATTCTGCAAAAAAGCGGGTCAGAGCATTTCTAGGGATAGTAGGGTACTATCGGAGATTCATCCCTCATTTTGCCACAAGAGCAGGGCCCTTGACTGACCAGATAAAAGCCCAGGGCCCCAAGGTAGTAAAGTGGACTGATGCGGCAGAAGGAGCATTCGCAGATTTAAGGACAGCCCTTTGCTGTCATCCAGTAATCATAGCCCCAGACTTTGAGAAGGAATTCGTCCTACAAACAGATGCCTCGGAGGTAAGGCTAGGAGCCGTCCTTTCAAAGATGGTAGAGAAGGAGGAACACCCGATCCTGTACCTCAGCTGGAAACTCCTCCCCAGGGAACAAAAGTATGCCATCCATTGAAAAGGAATGTCTGGCAGTAAAATGGGCCATGGAGACTCTCCACTACTACCTACTGGGGTGACGGTTTACCCTCGTGACAGACCATTCCCCGCTCCAGTGGATGCACAGAAACAAGGAGAAGAACGCAAGAGTGACTAGGCGGTTCCTATCCCTGCAACCCTTCCATTTCCGGGTACAGCATAGAGCCGGAAGCCAACACGGCAACACTGATGGCCTGTCACGACAGCACTGCCTCTGGTCTCAAGTAGCCCAACCCCATGGCATTGAGCGTGGGTTGCGGGGGGAGAATATGTGATACAGCATGGCCCAGAGGTCAGCAGGAGGGTGATAGAGGGGAGATATGCAAGCCCCAGGATGATGAGAGCCTTATTCCCCTTAGAGGGAAGAGAGGTTGCTATAGATTAATTAGAGCACCTGAAGCCAGTCACCTGATAAAAAAAAAACCCAGCTTCAATCAGACAGTTGGAGGAGTTGAAGCAGAGTGGTTTGGTGTTAGAGCAGAGAGCAGTTTGAAGGAGAGCAGTTTGGAGGGAAGCGGAGGAGAGTTTGAAGAAGTGCTATGGCGAGCCAGAAGACCAAGGCCCTAGATAAAGGGAAACTTGGGGATTCATTCCCTGGGTGGCCATAGATCCAGGTACATCAGTTTTATCTGCCCATTTGCAGCCCATTTCCCCATGTAGGTAGCAGGAAGGGGTGTGGCTGGGTTGATCTCTGGATAATGTAATGGTCCATAGAGGATGCCTGAGCTGTTCCCTGGATGTTCTATGTTATTCTCATTCATCTCAGAGAGTGCTAGTTCAGATACCCTGTGCCAGCAGTGAACTATTTCACTGCTCACCAGGTGCATGTAAAAAAGGAGAGGGACGATTATTTTATGAAGATCTGCTCAATTTGGTACCATGAGCAAGCGGGCTTGAAAGAAAGCACCACTTTTCCCCTGCTCCCAGTGAAGGAGGAGCGAAACCCAAAGAACCTAGCAGAACCCAGTGGGAAATCAGGAGATAATTCAGCTGGTCAAAAGAAAATGAATGTAATACAAAGATCAGAATGCAAAAATACATTATCAAGCTGTCCCAGTATACTTTAAAACCAAGTTTTTGAGCTACACTGGAAGGGTCATCCCAAATAATTGTATCTGTTGAGTTGTTGCTTAACAGATTTTTGTTAAATTTTTATTTTTAACACTAATTTTAACAAACATTATTCTAAAGAAGCTTGAATCCAAACTTACTGTGTGGCACTTCCATACTTCACAGAGGTGTTGCGAGGATAAATACATTAGAGACTGAAGTGCTCCGATACCATGGTAATGGGTGTCAGATAAGCACCTAAGATAGATATTAAAGATTGCTCAGTATGGCTTAGAGCCAAATCCTGCTTGCCTAACTCACATGAGTAGACCTGCTGAGGCCATTAAGACTATTTGTGTGAGTAAGGCAAGCAGAATTTAATTCTAAATCCTGGTCTACACTAGGAAGTTTTACTGGTAAAATTTGCCTTATTTCAGCACATGACCACACTCAATTTTGAGTACTGTCAGTAAAAACTGGACTTTCTGTTGTTGGCTGAAAACAAACCTCTCTACTTGGCCCCCATCGCTGCAGTATCTGAGTGTATGTCTTTTATGGATTTACCCTCACAACACCTCTGTGAGGCATGAAAGTGTTGTTGCCCCTATTTGACAGAGGGAGAACGAAGGGACAGAGATGCTAAGTGACTTTCACAAGGTCACACAAGAAGTTCGTGGTACAACAGGGACTTGAATCCAGATCTCACAAGTCTCAGGCTAGTGCCCAAAGCACTGTATCCCTTCTCTCATACACTGATGACAGCTGATAACATTCCCTGCAACTTTCAAAAATCCTTCCCCATAGGAGGCATCATGACGTAATGCAACTGCCACAGATTTTCTCCGCTGACGTATACCCATGTCCCAGTATATGTGGTAGATGTTGCCACCTATTCCGTCCTCAGTGGAGTTCCTCTAGATTTATCTGATGTACTTCAGAGAAGAATGAATCTCAATATGTCTTCTAATAGCCGAAATAATAAGCGTATTCCTGTCCTCTAATTGATTCTTGCAACCTAGGAAAACTTTGCATTGAAAGGCACTGTTAACTAGATTTAAAAAGAGACACTGAAACTTAAACCGTATGATAGTATGCTCATCTTACATATTTGCAAGTGTGGCTGATGTTTGTATTTTAAAAAGATAAGTAATGCATAATCACTTTCTGTTGTAACAATAATCATTTAAATGAATCTGTCTTGTCTCCATAGGCTATGTTGACATTGAACTGATTCCAAAAGGAGCAAGGGACATAAGAGTAGTAGAAGTGGCAGAAGCAGGAAATTTCCTCGCAGTGCGGAGCGAAGACCCAGAAAAGTATTACCTAAATGGGGGATTTATTATTCAGTGGAATGGAGCATACAAAGTGGCAGGAACAACATTTCAATATGAGAGAAAAGGAGATCTCGAAAATCTGACAGCATCTGGACCCACCAATGAGTCAGTGTGGATACAGGTACAGTAAAGGATCAGCAGCAGAAGCTGATAACTGGCTGGAAGCAGAATGATCTGGAGCTTTGAAAACAAGGCAGGAAAAAATAACTCTACTTTTATAACTCACTCCATTAATTTTCCAACAAAAATTCCTTCATTATCTTGGTTTGGCATTGAATGTAGTCATATGACTGAAGGCCTTGATTCAATAGTTACTTAAGCACATGCCTACCGTTAAGAACATGAGTACTCCCATTTACTCTACTTAAAATTAGCTATGTGCTTGAGTACCTTGATGAACTGGGGCCAAAAATCCAGAGAGGGAAAGACCTATTTAATCATTCAATCCCCGCTACCTAAAAGTGCTCCTACGATATATGTTCTGTTGATTTATCCAGTCTAGCTTTAAATATATCAAACTAATATTTACCTTGGGGAAGGTACTTGTATTCCCTTTTGCTGTCTGTCTCTCTGAATGTATCCATCCTGCTCTTTTTTTCCTGTTTACTTAGTATGCCATAGATATATATTAAACATAAGACCATAGAAAAACGGGAGGAAGGAATGGAACCTACTTGTGCACGACTCCCACATCTTGAATTTATGGGAAGGATGTATCCAAGTGATTTTAATGGATGATCCATGTTCAGTGCACAGAGAGGGGACTTAGAGCAGGGAAATAAGATTTCTGTCAGTGTTCAATGTTGCCTGGTTAGGTAGGAGTAAACCATTTTATGGAATTGTTTCAGTATTTTATCCCCTAAAGATTAACTCCTTCCCCGCCTCTGTTATCTGCCAAAAGTAAATGAACAATTTATTTGACTTGCTTACTGCCTGTTTCTGCTAAGAATTTTCCTCTTTATTTAAGGAGACATGTTAAAAAACAATGTTAAAGAAATGTTTTGATAAATATGCTGCTATCTGCTGAGCTACTAGAAGGAACAGCTGCCATATGGTTGGGACACTATCATTTATAAAATTTGCATATAAATATAGGTGTTAATAAAATGTCCATTTTCAATTATCTCAGTTTGGTTATTTTGCATAGCCTTGTCTTTTAGTTGATAGGATACCATATACTCTGACCCAAATTTTCACAAGTATGCTTGCAAAAGTATTTGCTTGCTTTCGTGCACCCCACATTTAAATGCACCTACTCCCTCCCCATACCTGTACACAAGTGAGGGTTTGATATATACATTTCTCAAGGGCAGGCATCCTTCAAGAGTCATATGTTCCCAGGTTGGGTGCCTGTAAATATCTGCAGACACTTTGAACTCTACTCTTGAAGATGTGGGCCAGGGTGTTATAATCACAGCCAGTACATAATTTAATCACATCTATTTTTTTTTTAGCTACTCTTTCAGGAAAATAACCCGGGAATAAAGTATGAATATACTATACGTAAAGAAGGAAGCCTTGAGAATGAAGTAGGGGACCCAGAATATTTTTGGCAATATGGAGGCTGGACAGATTGCAGTGTGACATGTGGAAGAGGTTAAAAAACATGCTTTTTTTCTATCATCCTTTTCATTCTCTGACATCTGATTTACTCTGTTTATTATAGATTAATAGATTATGAAGGGACCACTGTGATTATCTAGTCTGACCTCTTGCACAGCTAGGTTTGGCAGAATTTGACTTATTTTTTAAAATAATTTGACAGATAATATTGATGTGTTTAAGAATCCCCTCCCCCCATTTGTATAGAGTTAATTTTCACAGTTGTGGGAAATTACTGGTTGGGGGTGGGAGTGTCGCACAATAGGTATATAATGACGATATACTTGAGATTCAAAAAGTTAAAGATTTATAAACTGGCTGTTTTAACAGAGCTGTAAATATGTTTTATGCAGTATTCATTGCATGTTTTATATACATTCAGATGGGACTGTAATAAGTTCACAAGTAGCATTTTCTTACTTTTTTATCTATAGATTTCAGTTATCATCAATGGAAATATTTTTTCATAGGTTTTTGTTTGTATGGTGAAATCAATGTTTACTGATACATTTCTAATCTTTCCAAGCCTATGTGTAACACAGGCCATAGAACTGCCCTGAATTAATTCCTGTTGAACTAGAACATGTCTAAATCTAATGTTGATTTTAAAAATTGCCAGTGATGGAGAATCCACCATAACCCTTCGTTAAAATTGCTTAGGGGGGCAGCAAATGGGTTTTTATAACATCTAGCCTGAATTTCATCCTCTTCTAAAAACCAGGCTGAAAAAATGAGTTTAACAGTGAGGGTAATCAGTGTTGCACCTTATTTCCAATCTGAATTTCTTTAGCTTCAACTTCCAGCCATTCAGTCTTGTTAGTCCTATGTCTGCTAGTCTGAAGAGCCCATTATCAAATTTTTGTTCCCAGTGTAGATATTTAGAAACTGTGATCCAGTCACCCCTTAACCTTCTTTATGTTAAGGACCTCAGTCTGTTTAGTTTGAGTCTGTCACTACAAGCCATGTTTTCTAATCCTTTAATCATTCTCTTGGCTCTTCTCTGAACCCTCTCCAATGTACCAACAACCTTCTTGAATTGTGAACACCAGTATTCCAGCAGCGGTTGCATCTGTGCCAAATTGATTGATTGGCGATCCCTCAATTTGAGGATGATCTCTACCTTGGATTTACATATGGGTCCTGAGATGACTCAGGAGTCCAATCCTGGAACCGCAAATCTGCCCGCAGTAGGTACAGACATTTTGTGGCAGGCCAACGGCCTGCTGGGAGAAAGTTATTTCTTTTCCCTTCCTCCCCTCTCTCTTTTCAGCTTTGAGGACAAGGCGCTTCTCCTCAAAGCGGGCCACTGCCTGATGGAGGATATGGTGCCATTGCGGTGGGTTGGTGGCTTGCTTTTCCCAGCTTGTGATGTCCACATCAGTTTTCTTAAGATACGCTTTCAGTGTGTCTTTGTAGCATTTCCTCTGACCACCATGTGCGTCTGTGCCAAATACAGAGGTAATATAACCTTCCTACTCCTGCCTATTTCCCCGTTAATACATCCAAGGTTCACATTTGCCCATTTGGTCACAGCATTGCACTAGGAGCTCATGTTCAGCTGATTATGATCCACCCCCAAGTCTTATTCAGAGTCACGGCTTCCCAGGATAGAGTCCTACATCTTGTAAGTATGTCCCACATTCTTTGCTTCGAGATGTATAGCTTTACACTCAGCCATATCAAATGTATTACACACAGTTTACCAAGGAACCCAGATTGCTCTACATCATTGATGTGTCGTCTCCATTATATATCACCCCCTCAGTCTTTGAGTCATCTGCAAACTTTATCAGTGATTTTATTTTTTCTTCCAAGTCATTGATGATAATGTTAAATAGCATAGGGCCAAGTACTGATCGCTGCAGGACTTCACTAGAAACACACTGGCTGAATGATGATTCCCTGTTTACAATTACAGTTTGAAACCTATTATTTAGCCCGGTTTTAATCCACGTAATGTGTGTCATCATGTTAATTTTGTATCTTCTAGTGTTTTAATCAAAATATCATGCAGTACCAAATCAAATGTCTTACAGAAGTCTAAGTACATTAATTATCTCTATTATCTTTCTCTCTCACACACACACACACACAAACTCACTCTCTCTGATTTACTTGTGGCACCTTAGAGACTAAACAATTTATTTGAGCATAAGCTTTCGTGAGCTACAGCTCACTTCATCGGATGCATACTGTGGAAACTGCAGAAGACATTATATACACAGAGACCATGAAACAATACCTCCTCCCATCCCACTCTCCTGCTGGTCATAGCTTATCTAAAGTGATCGCTCTCCTTACAATGTGTATGATAATCAAGGTGGGCCATTTCCAGCACAAATCCAGGTTTTCTCATCCTCCCCCCCTCACACACACACAAACTCACTCTCCTGCTGGTAGTAGCTCATCCAAACTGACCACTCTCCTTACAATGTGTATGATAATCAAGGTGGGCCATTTCCAGCATAAATCCAAGTTTAACCAGAACGTCTGGGGGGCAGGGGTAGGAAAAAACAAGGGGAAATAGGTTACCTTGCATAATGACTTAGCCACTCCCAGTCTCTATTTAAGCCTAAATTAATAGTATCCAATTTGCAAATGAATTCCAATTCAGCAGTTTCTCGCTGGAGTCTGAATTTGAAGTTTTTTTTGTTTTAAGATAGCGACCTTCATGTCTGTGATTGCGTGACCAGAGAGATTGAAGTGTTCTCCGACTGGTTTATGAATGTTATAATTCTTGACATCTGATTTGTGTCCATTTATTCTTTTACGTAGAGACTGTCCAGTTTGACCAATGTACATGGCAGAGGGGCATTGCTGGCACATGATGGCATATATCACATTGGTGGATGTGCAGGTGAACGAGCCTCTGATAGTGTGGCTGATGTTATTAGGCCCTGTGATGGTGTCCCCTGAATAGATATGTGGGCACAGTTGGCAACGGGCTTTGTTGCAAGGATAGGTTCCTGGGTTAGTGGTTCTGTTGTGTGGTATGTGGTTGTTGGTGAGTATTTGCTTCAGGTTGGGGGGCTGTGAGAGTGGGATGGGAGGAGGTATTGTTTCATGGTCTCTGTGTATATAATAAGAAAAGGAGTACTTGTGGCACCTTAGAGACTAACCAATTTATTTGAGCATGAGCTTTCGTGAGCTACAGCTCACTTCATCGGATGCATACTGTGGAAACTGCAGTAGACATTATATACACACAGAGACCATGAAACAATACCCCCTCCCACCCCACTGTCCTGCTGGTAATAGCTTATCTAAAGTGATCATCAAGTTGGGCCATTTCCAGCACAAATCCAGGTTTTCTCACCCTCCACCCCCCCACACACAGACTCACTCTCCTGCTGGTAATAGCTTATCCAAAGTGACCACTCTCCCTAAAATGTGCATGATAATCAAGGTGGGCCATTTCCAGCATAAATCCAGGTTTTCTCACCCCCCCCCCACCCCCATACACACACAAACTCACTCTCCTGCTGGTAATAGCTCATCCAAAGTGACCACTCTCCCTACAATGTGCATGGTAATCAAGGTGGGTCATTTCCAGCACAGATCTAGGCTTGAGAAAACCTGGATTTGTGCTGGAAATGGCCCAACTTGATGATCACTTTAGATAAGCTATTACCAGCAGGACAGTGGGGTGGGAGGGGGTATTGTTTCATGGTCTCTGTGTGTATATAATGTCTACTGCAGTTTCCACAGTATGCATCCGATGAAGTGAGCTGTAGCTCACGAAAGCTCATGCTCAAATAAATTGGTTAGTCTCTAAGGTGCCACAAGTACTCCTTTTCTTTTTGCGAATACAGACTAACATGGCTGTTACTCTGAAATCTCTCTGATTTGGCCTTCATTGTATGGCACCTCACAAATGTGATCAAATTATGATCACTTGTACCTAAGCTACCATTAATTTGTAGGTCTGTGATAAGTTCTTCTTAATGTGTTAAGAGGAGGGTTAATATAGAGTTTCCCTGTTTTGGAATGTAATTAAAGAAACCAATAATTATCACACTGCACTCATAAAACCATAACAAGTAGAAATGGAAAATGCTGATGTTACTTGGTTGGCACAAGTTTGTTCCCTCCGAGTTTATGTACTCTAGTTATAAAGGACTCAAGCAATCAGATTCCTATCACTTCCCTTGGACTGTTGTACTGTTAGAAAATTGTCATCTATAATATTCAGAAATTCCAAGGATGTTATCCTAACAGCATTCTAATTATCAAAGAGCCAAATTGAGGTGAGGTTCTTTAGTCTCCGTGATATAGGAGGTCAGGCTAGATAATGACAATGGTCCATTGTGGCCTTAAAATCTATTAAAATTGCTTAGGGGGCAGCAAATGGGTTTTTATAACATCTAGCCTGAACTTCATCCTTTTCTACAAACCAAGCTGAAAATGCATTTTTACAGTGTTTTCCACTGAAGCAATTGCTAGCACTTGTAGTGATCCTGTATACCACCAACGGAGTCTATTAAAAGTATACAGGGTTTTTTGTATTACCAGAACCGATTGGTTTTTTTAATACATTTAAGTAATTTTTTTTACTTCAGTTTTGTACTGCACTAATAGGAATCAGTGTTTTCCCAAACATTTCTTAGTAATCAGCTAATGTGAAATCATTTTGTAGAACTTGTATCTGTTTAATTCTTTATACGTTATCGTGACTTAAAAAAATCACAGTGTTGTTTTAGTTCTGTATAGAATTGTAAATCAGACAAAAAATTGTTTGGTGTAGAAAGTAGAATAAGAAACATAAGGAGATGCAGAAATTTCTTTGATAAGGAAAGTAAAGCGTAAGGAATATCATCTTAAACAGATTAATGAACCGAAGGCAGTGATAAGTGAAACTGAGCATAAAACAGTGAAGATCCCAGGGGGGTTCTACAAAACAGAGGCTTCAAGTCTTTTCTTTGAAACACAAAATACATTTTTGGAGAAGAATGTTATGAATGGTAAAAAGTCAGTTGATTTTTCAGTAGATTTGTAATGGTCTTTAAAGAAGTTTGTATTTGGATTTGTTTATTTCAATAAGATCTATTAGATAGCAGAAAAGTCTGAGCGATGTGGTAGGAATCCCATAGCCTGCGTCATTAATAACTAGACTACATTAAGTAGTGGCGGAACAAACTTGCACCCGCAAGGGGATTGCTAAGAGGATATTGGCCTTTTCCATTTCTAATTTTTATGTTTTTTTAAGTGCTGGGAGGTAATTATTGGTTACTTTAATTTCATTCCGTGAGATTTTGGTATTAAATGAACAAACAAAAAACCTTGTAACAAATTTAGAGTGAAGTCAAATGTATTAAGGCAGCAAAGACAAACATTAGTACTAGTGTTTAAATCTTCCCTATGAAGAAAACAACTATGGTTATTTGTTTTCCATAGTTTGAAGAACTGGCTTGTTACAACTTTCATTTTAGGTAATTAATGCCTGGGGTCAATGTGATTTTTTTTCCATGCTAATTATGTGCTCCTACTTTTCTCAGAACACTGGTGTATTGTCAATCAATAAATCACAGTATTCTTTTCCTGTTAGCAGAAAAAAAATAATTAAATTTGAGAGGTTATCTGAAACAATTAAATCCCTTGGATTAAATGTTATGCAGTGTGCTTGTATAACCCCCATCAATCACCATAGTATGTAAGTGCTGATAATGTTTGATGTTTGATTAATTTAATGAATGGCATGACAATGAAATGAGATTAATGTTTTATTGAACTGCTTGATTTGTTTTCTTTAACGTTAGCAGAACTGTTTTCTTAAGTGTTTCCTGCAAAAATATTATAATCCTGGGAAACACCTTCTGAAAAGCTGGTTGGATAACACCTGTGCTCTTTGACTTTGCTTTTTGGACTACAGGCTGGATCACTGAAATAGATGACTCCAGGCTACTTTTGTTTGTTGATTTCTAACAAACAAATGGTATCCCCACTTACTATTTGTCTTTTTTCAACTACTAGAGTTCACTTCTAGTTCTCTGCAAAGGTGGAAACTGAAATATAGGGTGGGTTCTGCCACTATATGGCTGCTCAGGGCAGTTAGGGTGTTAGGGGGCTTATTCCTTCACCCACTTACTTCCCCGGTCCTTCTCGCATGACCAGAGAGAAACAAAACCCAAAGTCCAAAGGTGCAAACAATTCAATGTTTATTGGGGTGAACTTTCAGCAAGCATGATTCCAGTTTCCTTCCTTAGCATCCTCCTTCCCAGCTCTGACACCACAGAGCCTTACCTGTGTCCCTGTTCCCATTCCCCCCCTTAACAAAACATTATTCCAATTCCCCAGCCCCATTCCCTGTTCCCATTCCTCCCACCCCCTTACTTCCTGATTGACTGCAGACTATGTAGTAAAACTTGAGTTCTGCTTAGCTATACCTTAACCAATCATTTCTCTGAAATGTAACTAACCAATCCTAACACATTGTAACATAATTATTTAACCAATTATATCCCACCACCTTAATTAGTTTGCACCAAGCAAAATTAATTATACAGCAGACAGAAACAATCCCAGAACCAGACCGAGACCATGCAAATAAACAATAGCAAAGCGGGAACTATAATGACAAAACAGTACAGAAGAGAGGATTTCACAACTATATGTATAAAGACATAAGGGTTTCCCAGCTGTGTCTATTGATAAGTGAGTTCTTACCGAACAGAAAGCTATCAAACTAAACTTCCTTTTACATTTTCTAGGCACTTCCCTTTCTCTGGAGGAAATAGGCATTATCAGGACAGGACTGTATTCCTAACAGCCCAATAGCACCTTCTTTCAATGTGACTAGTTTGGAATGTGAGGATGTGACCGTTCGCTTCCCAGCTTATGGCTGCCTCTGCTGCTTAGCCAAAGGCCTTAGCCTAAGAACAGGGCCTCAGACTGTCACAGTAAGAGAAAGACCTTACACTGGCAGACAGTGATTTTGATTCTTTCTTTTATACCTCTATGACTAGCTAAGTGATAAGAATACACCTAAATTAGAGTATAGGCCTTTTATAGACAGGCCTGAAATCTATATCCTAACATAGGGGGTGAGTCATAATAGGTCATGATATGTGGGGAAAGAAACTTGAGCAGGTCCACTAGTTTTGCCATATGCAGGTGGGCAGCCAGAGGCAGTGGAGCCTTGGCACAAAGCGGGAAGTAAACTGCTGCTTATCTATGCCAGTTGTTCCCGCTACCACACCTCTGTAGCAAAGAGAAAACGAGAATCACAATTCCAACCCTCCTCTGCTCCCGTGATGGCACTTCTCTGCTCTGCCCCCTTACTTAGGGTGGATTGTGATGTTGTTTTCTAGAATTAGATGGCAGCACCATTGTTGGTGTATTTGGGAAATGCCAGCGCGCTCTCAGTGTAGAAAACTGGAAATTGTTACTCTAAACACGTATTACCTATAATAGGAATTATATTAATTGTTGACCTTCTAGACCAAAAAGAATTGACCTATTACACACTAAGCTAATGTGACACTTTTTTTTCTTCTGTCAGTGGGTTCGATAGGCCAGTATGAAATACTATTTCCAAACTGTGTTAAATACCACAATTCTCTGAGCGTCCATAAAACTAGTTTCTTGGTTTAGACCATGATTATTTTTTAGCACTTTTTAGACTCAGAATTGAATGTCCTTGACAGGAACAGAGATGTTGTGCTACATCCAAGCCATCTTGGTATTTTTGAAACAGGTGTTGCTATGTTGCAGTGGGTTAAAGTTGACTAAAAGATCGTAGTATACTAATAAACATATTATATAACAAGTGGTGTTTGTAACAAGTTACATATTATATAACAAGTGGTGTTTGTAACAAGTTACAAGTGGTGTAACAAGTGGTGTCCAAAATGGAGTCAAAGAAATGATGGGAGTTAGGTTTGTTTTGACTAAAATGTGGTGGTAAAATGACCTTCAAGGATTTTGTGGTCATAGTTTGCTTTCATGAAGGACTAGTTATTCCATAATATAAGAGGAAGTGCCAATTATTTATATAGGCACTATCAAATTATCTGATTGGCCTATCCAGTGGGATAAGTTTGCCACCACTTATGAATATTTTCTTTCCTGGGATCAATTGGTAACTCAGGGCCTCATTCAAGGCCCATCTAAAGTTAGTGGGAAGACTCCAATTGACTTCAGTGGGCGTTGGATCAGACCCATAATAATAATCGGTATCACAATCAATCCACATCAAGTGGCCTTAATCTGTTCTGCCTCCTACAGCCCGGTTAGAAGAAAATCAGAACAATCCAGCCAGATATTTTCTGGAGCCAAGGAAGTGGAGCTGGGGGTTCATAAATGGCTAAAGAAGTCGTATGCTGTGGGCTTCCAGCAACAAAACTACAAACTAGAAACAGAAACTGCATTTTCATGTATTGTTCTAGTTATTTTTCTTCTCTCCTTTGTATGGATTTATCTTGGTTAGTCTAAAAAAGGAAACTGGATCAGATTAGACTGCAACAACAGAACCTGAGAGATAAGAGCTATACCCTGAAATTGACTTCCCCCGCCCCCATATAAATTAAATAAATAATATTAAATTATGTAAATATATACTATATATACTTATATATAATATAATTATATAAAATTAGACTAATGTATAATGATATTTATAAATATATAATTTATACTTATTTTAATTAATGATATTATAAATAATATATGCTTATATTATATAAATATATACTTATAAAATATAAAATAAAAATAAATAATTGGCACTTTCTCTTATGTTATGGTACAAAAAGTCTAGAAGGCTTTCTGAGAAACATGACTATAGCCTTTAGGAAGGATTGATTGTATTTGCAATTTTTTATCAACAATTATTTAAAGTATGATGTGCAAGAAAAAGCATAATAAAGGTTTGATGCATCCATATAGGTCAAATAATGTCTTACAGTCCCCATGGTCTACCTGGTTCTTATCCTGGGAATCCTTCAGTAAGGCTCTAACAGTTCTTTCCATCTCCACTGTCTGCTGTTTCAATCCAAATACCTCCTGCTCCAGCTTGTTACTTTCTCGCTCACCGTCACACCCCTCCTTCTGCAGTGCCACTATCTGTGAGGCCTGAATCAAGCTGGTGGTGCAGAGGGTATTTGATGCTGCCTTTAGATTGGATTTTTTTTTTTTGCCTTTAACTCATCTATCTCTTTATTTACTACCATCGCTACCATCTGCTTACAGAGCTGCAGGAACTCCCCAGGGCTGGTAAAGCGTCCAGGCTTCTAAAAACCATTACCATGCTCCTTACAAATCAGTCAGGCTGTTTTCCAAAATTATTTTCAACTGTGCTTTTCTCCCAGATTTTTCCTTTCCTTCTGACATATTTTCTCAGTCGATCAGGCTACCAGCCTGAGCCCTGAGCCCCAGTAACGGAATGTATCCATAAATTGACTCACAGACCACAACACAGGGAAATTCCAGGTGGCTACTCTGCCCCACAGTCCTCTCCTCTTGCACAGCACAGCAAACCATTTGTACCAATCATCTCCTTCCTCCCTATCGCTCCTGGCTGGCTCACCAAATCTGTTACCAGGTTTTCAGAACCCAAAGCAGTGGTAACTTTACTGTTTCTCTCCAGGAGATGTCAAGAATAAATCAATAGGGACACAGTTACTCTGTCTGATATATGATTGATACAAACCAGAGTGCTTTTACCTAAAACTATTTTTTCACTAGGTCTTACACACTCTTTCTCTCATGCACACACACACACGCCACAGCAATAGGTTCAGAGCATTCAAAACATTTATATTTACCAAAATCTGAAATGTTTTGGAGTGACTACCATCGGGGCTTCCGGGGGCCTTCCTTCCATCCAGCTGATGGGGAATTTTACATGTCAGATCCTTGCTCAAAGACAAGCTTCCTCAGACTGCTTTAAAGCACATATTTAAACTAATTTTTTTATAAATTTTATTTGGACAAAGCCCATAATTGATGACAGCCTCTCATAGGCTATCAATTTGCCTAGCAACAGCCAATATCAATTTCTTCTGCTGCTGCTGCTTCTTCTTCTTTCTTCTTAGCAAAGCATTTCTAGTCATAACAACAATAAAACTTACATGTCAGAGGCACCTAAAACCAAGGTTGGCTGTCTAAACATTCTTTCTATTTTTGTGGAACATTAACTCCCTGTCCCAACCTCCTATTCTGATTAGTAGAGCTGCAAACATGCAGCTGCGTGGATTATTCCTAGCTACGTGATCTTTGGTTTTCAGCTAATGTTACCTGGGTTTCTTTAAACCCAAAGCTCTTGGTAACTTTTACTCTGTGCGTGGTGGTGTCAGGAAATAAATCAAGGGAGACACAGCCGTCTGACCGATAGATGGCTGGCACAAACAGGATAACACAAGAGTGCTTTCACTTAAAGCTAAACTTTATTTAGTCTCAAACACTTACAAACGTCCACAACAGGTTAGTAAAATACCCCCAACACTTGATAATTACTGAAGCTGAGTGTGACCTTTGAGTGGCACCATGACAGGCTTCAGCTGGCCAATCTTCCGTTTGCCGGTGGGGACCCCAAGATGCGTCCAGAGGGAGCATCCTTGAAGAGCCCCTTCTCAGAAGTCCCACTACCTCAGACTTTCCCCCCTTATTTATACATTAGTAATACAATGACATAAAGGAAGCTTGCTAAGCAAGCAGTTTTTAAAGGTCAAGCAAGAGATTTCCTTCCGATCATCAATTTAACCAGATATGGGTTTTGTTTTGCTTTTTTTCAGAGTCTCCATGCCTTGGGGCCCTGACAAACATTCCCGGGGGCACATATAGACAGACTTCCTGTTTTTCTAAAACACATATATCAGCAATTTCAACATTCTTAGCAGGAAGGTCGCGAGGTCAAGCTGTCCTGTCTGTGGCACCCACAACCCCCTCCCCTCCTGCCTTGGTTATGCTAAGGCCACTGCATGACCAATTTATAGCCTGCTGACTTGGCTTCTTTTAGCAACAAGCAATAGTGGTTCAGTACGGCCTGCTGACTTGGCTACCATTAGCAATAAGCAGTAGTGGTTCCAGGCCTTTACTGGTTTGCCAAAATCTCCCCATACACTGGCAAGGCTGAACACACAAGATGGCTGACTGCAGCACTGTCAAATTCTGGGGTACACGAAGGAATGTCAAATTCAGGGGCTACAACACTTGATGCCATTTGAGAGACTTCCAGACAGGGTTCATCCCCTTGAGTGTGAGATGGGATAAAACGTGTTTAAAATGAAGGTTTACTTGTACTTCTGAGATGTAAAGATGCATAAACCTTTACTTTGCTTTTTCTTGCATATCATTCTTTAAATAATTGTTGATAAAAAAAATTGCAAATACATTCAGTCCTTTCTAAAGGCCGTAATCATGTTTCTCAGAATTAGATTAAAGTGGCATTGAACATAATCTGTCTAATAGAGGGCAGCCTCTTGGTTGAAAGATAGCATTAAGCAGAATGCAAAAGTTGATCTCTCTGTAGAAATAACAAGCAAGTGGTAAATTTTCAAAGCTTATAAAAGGATTTAGCCACAAGATTCCTATTGGGACTAATTAGTGTATACCCCCTAAATCCCTTTTCAGCTTCAGTATGGCAAATTTAATTCCATATGTACTAGTTTAATCCAAAAGTTGTGGTATTAATTTTACAAACTAGTGGTCACTGTGTTTTTCTGTCTGGATTTAGATGCTGATTTTCAAAAAGTTAGGGACATACAGTTGCCTTCATAATTGTGTATATAATTTGTGCATATAATTAATATGATTATTTGTGCATTCAAAGGGCAAGGTAAAACACCGTGAGTGTGTGCGCGCATGCACTCATGCACACAATCAATTTCAAGTCTGTTGCAAAGAGACACAATCACACACATACTTTTACACACACACACACTTTGTACGTCTGATTTTTTCCAACACTGACCCTTCTTATCTACATTTTCTGTTTTTAGTTTTGATGACACTGTCAATGGAAGTGTTCAGCCTCTGAGTCAATAGCCAAAAAAGCTCAACCCAACCATGTTCTAACTGGCATTTTTGTTGGTAAATTTACCAGAGGAATCAAGAATTGAATGGACATGGAAGGTGAACTGGACTCTGCCATCAAAAATAGTCCTTCCAGCTCACGGTTGATCTGAGATAGGCAAAGAGCAGGGGAAATTGTTTGTGGAAAAATCACTATTTGACCTGACCATGTTGATACTGTTTGTTTGCTTTTTCGTGAACATTGGTGCAGACACATTCTGTTTGCACAAATGTTGGGTATTCATGCCCCTATGAGTGTATTTGCATGCAAAAAAGCTCAATTGCACTGGAAGTGCGAGCTCAGCCACTTCTGTATATAGTGGTTTTGTTTATTTGAGAGAGACTGTCAGGCATGGAAGGATTGGGAGAATGAGAAAGTGAATGATTTTCAAGCAGCTGACTGCAAGTCTATGCTTAAAATGCTGCAGATATACTTCTGTAGAGCTTCAGTGAAGATTCTGCCTATAGGAGGGCTTCCTTGATGGCATAGATAATCCACATCCCCAAGAAGCGGTAGCTATGTCAGTGGGGGAATTCTCCCATTGGCTTAGTGCTGTCTACACAGGGGATTAGGTCAGTTTAACTGTGTCTCTCTTAGGTGTGGAATACTTGTGGCACCTTAGAGACTAACCAATTTATTTGAGCATGAGCTTTCGTGAGCTACAGCTCACTTCATCAGATGTAGCTCACGAAAGCTCATGCTCAAATAAATTGGTTAGTCTCTAAGGTGCCACAAGTACTCCTTTTCTTTTTGCAAATACAGACTAACATGGCTGTTCCTCTGAAACCTCTCTTAGGTGTGGATTTTTCACACCCCTGAGCAATGCAGTTATAGCAAACTAATTTCCTAGTGTAGACCTGGCTTAAGTGATCACTTAGTGGGACCAGCAGTGAGAGGACAGGTGTAGGAGGGAGGCTGCTTCACCAGCAGAAAGGTCTCTTTCCTGGAGACACTCCCACACATGTTCTAGCTTCTGAACATAGAGCAAGGTCTCTGCAGTAGGGATCTCATCCCATGGACTGCTGTCACACACACATACAGCCTGGGTCTACATGGGTGTCCACCAGTGCCACATCAAATTGTTGCTGACAAGGAGCAGGGCTACAACACTGTGATCAGGGAGAAATAGCTGGGTGCAATCAGGACCACCATATAAAAATTGTTAGAGGCCTCCGTTGAAAGAAGCATTTAAGTATGTTTATTATGTGTGACTTCAGTGGGGCTTGTGTTTTAAATTGCGAATGTGCTTAAGTGTGGAATAGGTCAGGGCCAGTGTGAGATATTTTTGACTTGCTTCATACAGAACATTAGATATTTATAGTTGCCAAATATGACAATATTTGTTTGTTTTGTTTTAAAGACTGTTTCATTGAATCTATTTGCATCTTGATGTGCACGTTACTCTGTACCTCTGGCTTTGAAGTGAGTTATGCACATCCATAATGGGAAAATTAGGGACCTATCCACCTTTAATTTCTGAACAATCCCAGAACTTTCTGAGATTCTGCAAATAAAGTGAATCCACTTAAGGCCCCTATTAAGAATGGTATTTGTGTGATTACATCTTGAAATAACTGACCAGACTCAAATAGATGATGTCATGTGGTCAGGGCAGGGATAAGAGCACACACACTGTAAACAAGGCTTCTGTACATGTTTGAAGAGGCTACCTTATCACCAGACTTCTGCTTTGTAATGCATTACAGCAGCTGAAACTATACTAAATAATTCATCATAGGGGAATAATTCATGTCTGAGTTTGAAAAGGAGCAGAGAAGCATTTCTGATAACGTCCCTCATTTTACAACTGGCAGTGACATTTGCCAAACTCTCAGATTAGATTTCCAAAGCAAAAAACAAACATCATAATGGAAAAGTTGCATAGAACAGATTAGGGAGGAAACCAAGAGGGTTCTATAGAAACTTATCTATAAAAAATTGAATTTAATAGTGTTGCCGTAGGCCTTATTTAACCATCCTATAGAATTGTATAAAAATAATTACAGTTGTCCATTAAATACTATAACATGACACAAATACTGCTAGAAAGTGTATCATTTTCTGTTAAATTCTCTTGGCATTTTTCAACAATGGTCAACCCTCCTCCAATCTACTGCTACCATTGCCACCATCAAAACCTACTTTAATTTCCTTCTTTGGATTTTCCAGTTGCATCCTATCTTCTCTATGTCCATCTTTTTAAGCCCTTTTGCGTAACTTCATGGATAAGTGAAATGGAAGGGCTCTGATATTCCATGAAAAAAATAACTAGAATTCTTATGTGAAATATTAGGAAACAAATATTTCTATTGTGTTTATATGTGCAATGGTTATATTGGGGAAAGTGTGAAATATTAGGAAAAACTAATCTGTTTCCCAAAGCTTATGGGTTGTTTATTATGTGTTATTAATAGATTTCTATTTAAATTTATTTTCTTGAAACCTGCTAAAGAATCTGTGCAAACTTGACACCTCTTTATCTAAAATACAACAGTTATCCCTGACCCCAGAGTAGCATATTCTGTTTTGACCCCTTCAACAGCCTATATAGGGGTAGGATAAAAATCACAGTGATACAATATTATTGCCCTTTTGGCCCAAGAGGTTAGCAATCCTATTTGTTTACACAAAATTGTGTTTTCCTGAATACAATAGAAACACATTACAGTAGATAGTTTCTTTGCTCACAATTTTCAAGTCTGCCTCTCCTCTCATTTATGATCCAAGGAACTCTGGCTCTCTGCTCCCTCTGAAGGCCATGTTCATCCTTGCATCTTTCGCTGACTGCTCACTTTTGCCTCTCTGGCTCTCTGCCTCTCACACTCGTACAGCTTGTCAACCAATTCCCTAACCCAGCTTTTTGCAATCA